TTTGTTCATTCTAGGAATAGAAAAGTCACAACGGATTGTTCACAATCTCATGATCACAAAAGAATGGTGGAGCCATACATTTTAAACTTCTAACTTTAGGCACAGTGATTTTTGTCGGTAACAAGTTTTCCACAAATACTCTCTCAGAGTCAATACATAGAGTCAACGTTTTGTGTATTCAATTATGTAATAAAAAACCTCTACGTTTGGTTCTTTCTCCACATATATATCTTTAGAAAAAGCTCACTGATCTTCTCTCCACCACACAAATGGATTCTTCGTTCTTCCTTGCTATTGTTGCTGCTGCAATAGGGTTCTTTATGATTTTTAGGAAATTCAGATTCCATCAAGAAAACCAAGAAATTGATTCTTCTTCTTTGCCTGATTCATGGGTTAGTCCTCCAACTTCTTCATCTCACAACTGGACACACGATGTCTTTCCGAGCTTCCACGGGGAAGATGTCCGCACAGACTTTCTCAGTCACATTAAGAAGGAGTTTGGAAGAAAGGGGATCACACCGTTCATCGATAATGAGATCAAGAGAGGAGAATCCATCGGTCCTGAACTAATACGGGCGATTAGAGGATCTAAGATCGCGATCATCTTGGTCTCCAAGAACTATGCTTCTTCAAAGTGGTGTCTTGATGAATTGGTGGAGATTATGAAGTGTAGGGAAGAGTTGGGTCAAACTGTGATGGCCATTTTCTATAAAGTGGATCCATCTCATGTTAAGAAGCTGACCGGAGATTTTGGGAAGGTTTTTAAGAAAACTTGCGCGGGTAAAAGTAAGGAAGATATTGGGAGATGGAGACAAGCTCTTGTGAAAGTGGCTACAATCGCTGGCTACGATTCAAGAAATTGGTTAGTCCTCTTGATTTTTGCTTGCTCTTAATCTTTCAAACATATGAAAATACTACTAAAAAATACCACAAAATTTAGATTTTTGAAGAATTCTTAAAAGTCCGAGCTAGTTACCTTTCCTAATAAAATTTTATGAACACTTAGAATTTTGGTGATAATTTTGGAAAAGAAAAGATAAATGTGGATCTTTTTAGAGTTGCCCAA